TTTATTAAAGGGGACAAAATTTTTATTAAAAAAAACTAATGTGTTTCTTGTAGTATGTTTGTTTTTGTTTAAAAGTGGGCGTTCAATTGTTATGAAATCCTAAACTATATTTAACCATGAAAAATGAAGCAGACAACATAATATAAAGAATGTGACTTTGTAGATTTAGAGCATTTTTTCTTATTTTGTTTTCTTTAAAGGTTAAAAAGCCTTGAGTTAATAGTGTTTTAACAAGGTTCGAGAATGTGTGTTTGGCTGTGTGTGAGGAATTTTTGTTAATGCTTTGCTTGATTGTCCCTTTTCTCGGTATTTGTTTACAATTTATTGACATTCTTGTTGTTGATCGGTTGTGTTCTATACGTTTCGTTTAAGTTTTGGTTGGTTGGTTAGTTTTATTAAGAATGTACATATTTTGGCCTCCTGCCGCTAATGTTTTAACCTAAATTTATACGCATACATCATTTGTTGCCACATATTTATACCCACTTGTGTTTGTGCCTCATTTATAAATGTATGGTTATAAATTTTCAATAAAAGAGGGCCTTTTTCCGCTTGAATAAATACATTTTTTTTATATGTAAATTTGTATTTGTGTTTATATACAGTTTAATACCCATAATATTTGTATTCATATGTACACAAATATATGACAAGATTTGTGCATTGATTCTGCGAACACTTTAGATTTTTTTTTTTTTCATTTCATTTTATTTTGTTTGTTTGCATTCATTTATTGTGCAGGCCTGGAGTTCAATACATATGTTGCATTTTTACAAAGAATAACAAATTGAAAGGAATCCCTTCTTATGGCTGTAAAGAATTATAAAAAGAATTATTGTTTGTACTAAAAATAACTCGAGATTTTTTTTTGTATTCTAAATAGTAAAAGAAAATTATGTGTATGAGAGATAAGTTATGAGATTTCAAATACTATGTATCTTTTCATCATTAAATATATTCAATGAACTCTGAGCATTAAGGACACTCATATAACTATCGATTTATGCATATCGATCTCGAAATTAATATTTAAGAGGGTACCATAAAGATGATATAAAATAAGAATAAAAAAATTTGATATAAAACCATTTAACCAAAACTTTAATCGGCTTTTCATACAAAATTTTCCCCGTAAAAGCACAACTTAACTTTAATCTTTATCATTCAGATCGCTTCTGTTTTAAAACTGAATTATCTCAGTGGGTACAAAAATATCGCTATATTAGGACAAAACTTGAAATATTCAACTCAGTGTTGAAAGTAATCACCAGCCTATTTCTACTACATTAACTACTGGAAACTTAGATCATCTATAGGACATTAGGTCCAAGTCTTTAGATAAATTAAAGAATCACAAAAATTGTTCAGTTAACTGTTGATCTATATAGTCAAACTAAAACACAGTAATTTTTCAGTATCATCGATATGTTGTACTTCCACTTCTAGATCAAGTTCCAGACCCAACTACTAAACAAACTAATATCCTGTCGCGCTCAAAGTTTCTCAATGATAATGAACTGGATGAAAATCAAATATCAACCAAAAACATATATCGTCTGTAGGATATTAACTCTAAGTTTTCTCCAAAAAACTCAATTAAAATCTCCAGTTAATGTTGAACTATATGGCCAACCTATAACACTGTCCTCTGTGATTATCCTCTATACTTTCTACTTCTTCGAGATCGGGTTCCAGTTCCTTGTCATATTATCATTCCAAAAGCTTGACCATTCAACAGGACATTACTGTTAAACGAAACCAATTTCCTTCAAAGATGAAGAACTGGATGATAACCAAATATCAGCCAAAAACTTAGATCGTCGGACATTAAGTTCAAGTTTACATCCAAAGAATCACATAAAAAAATCCCTTTTAAAGTCGCCCTATATACTGCAACTAAAAGACTGTTTCTAGTCATTATTGTCAACATATTCCACTTCTTCTACATAGATTCCATTGCCTTGTCATGTGATCATTCTTAAAGTTTGGTCACACATGATTTTGCCTAAATATCAGTAGAAAGCATGGATCGTCTGTCGTACATTAAGTCCAAGTTTTCACTTAAAGAAACACCTAAAATGTCTAGTTCAATAACCACTATCATAAAGCTTTATTTGTTCCACTTTATCTAGTTCGACTACCAGTTCAATTACTATTGAACTGGTAATCGAACTAGAGAGAGTAGTAATGACTTAATTACCTCATGTTTGTCCAGTGTGGAGTATTTATCAGATGAACATGATTTATCTGATATATACATAAGTTTGTTGATTGTTAGGAGAGGTTTTCTGTGACTGCTTTGAAAGATAAAAACAAAAGCAGTTATCGACATCGGTGGCATGTGTCGGTTCAAATTTATTACAGTTTTAAGTTAGGGTCCTTATGACCTACTTATTCAACTGAACGGCTTTACTAAGTCTAAAGCTTTTAACGATTCTTCCAGCATCTTTTGAAATGGAAGGTTTTTCACAGGAGGTCCGCGAAACAAAAAACGATTCAAATTTGCGCCACCTAAAAGTAGTCTTTTAGAAGCATTTTCTGAATCGATGTCCATCCGCAGAAACTCCCATGTAAATTCTAATTCCTATAATCTCCAGCATAAATCTAAATCGTGCTTTGTCATAATACTCAGAAATCAATATCATTTAAATTCTTATAATTTAAATTAGTTCTTTTAATACCGGAAAATATGAATATATATAAAGTTGAACTGGTCACATTTAATAATCCTCTACATAACACTTAAGGCGCTTCAAATTTAAACTTCAATGAAGTTCATATTTCACAAAAACAAATATTTTTTTAAAGAATTTGATTCTCAGATATTTTTACTAAATATGCATAAAAAAACCTTAACGTAAACTATACATGTGATTAGCCTTAATGTTGTATGGCCCATGCAAAGTCGTATGCCTGTAATATGAATATAATGTTGTTGTTGTTCTTGCTATTATGTTCAAGTATTTTAGCACTAGATATATAGTTACCATGATACATGTATGATTATATATGTTTGGTTTTTTTTTGTTGTTGTTGAGCTCGGAAGAGCACGTGTGTATCATTCACTAAAGTTCAACTAAAATTATTATTAATTGTATATGAAATATGTATAAATGTATCTATCTATCTGCTCAGTGTGGGCAATTGCAATTTAGCATGCACCATACTTATGAAACATAAGATCACCAATAGCACCAACAACAACACCACCAGCACAACGGCAACAACATTATTGCTCGTGATGACGAAGAAATGAAAATTGAAAAGATATTGTTGTAGAAGAGAGAAGGAAACAGAAGTAGAAAAAAAAAATACAATAAGGAAAAACACTGAATACACTGGCGCCTGTAAGACACGATACAGTATTACAAAATACAAAACTAAACTTTTAAATATGAGAATGAAAAGGCTTTGATCAGTGAACATTACTATAAGCACGAGTGTAGGTTGCTAAGAATATTAACATCCAATATGGCAACAGCCAATAAATGCAATTGCCCCATTCTGTTGAAAAAGGAATTTTAAAAGTTGTGAATATTTTTAGCTAAAATATGATCGATCAATCATGTTAAATACAAATTTCTGCCAATTATTCGTTGTTAGGATCTTGATCCCTTAATGTGAACAAATAAATCGTCCTAGAAAGTTCTTTCACAAAAACCTCTGAAATCATACGCTCTTGATCAAATATATCCAGATCCATTAGCAACTCTCTTGTGTAATTTTTCCCAGCATGGGCCTAATATTGCCTTTATAAGGAATAGCACATGCTTTTGGGATGGTACGTTGAGCAATATCAAAACGAATCAACACACTGCACAAATGTTTATACACGCTCGATGATTAAATGCATTGGAATGCATAAATGATTGATTAACAAAGAAACAAAAACAAAAAAAGCAGCTCAAAACAAAAGCTTGAATTCATATACATATTATTAAGTAATTCTTTTGTCTTTCTTTTCTTTTTCATTGCAGGTAGTTCCACAGATTTAACACCCTCACTATTGGGTATCTACGATTCACTCACGACTGTTTTAGATGCAGCAACATCTACGACAACTACAACCACAACATCTACAACGAATAATCATAAAACCTCTAACAACAACTCAACATCCTACTCCTCCTCTTCCTTTTCAACAAACTGTGATAGTGGCAAAGACACGAGTCTAGTGGCAGAGGAACCACCAGCAAAACCTCCCTTGGATGCTTATCTTAGTCGTTTGGAGAAATATGCCAAACAAGCGGAATTAAAAAATTCACATAGCTCACAAGTTGGGGAAGATTCGCCACCTTTAGCAAATTCCAATAGTGGTAGTTGTAGCAGTAGCTTAAGAGGTTCCTTAGAGTCTGTCTCCTCCAATGGTGGTTCTCTAAATAAACATCGTTCGAATATACGTATACTCTCGGCCAATGTTCAACGTATTATTACACACTCTGATGCTGAGGCTGTAGATGCGGTAGATATAGAGGCCCTACAATATCCCACACGTTCTAGTACTCCCATACAACAACAACAACAGCAGCAGCAACAACAACATCAACGTTTTGTTAAAAAGTCCTCCAGCTCCCCCAGCAGTCTTAGTAATCATAAGCACAAACTTTCCCATATACCATTGTCTAAAACAACAGGAAAATTAACCCAAACCGGTACAGATTTGGTGGAAACTTTCAATAATGCTCTAAACGAAGACAGTGAAAACTTTCGACGTTTTGATTTAAAGTCCAAAGGTTTGAGAAAACCCTCTACACCTGCCATTTATTCCTTGCCTGGAGTAGATGATGATAAAACTCCCACTAATACCATAGCATTCAATTTTGATTGTTCAGCGGCCCATAAACTTGCTACACGCAAGCTAAGTCTGCCTAGATGTAACTATGAAAAAGACCCTGGTTTGGACAACAAGACCAATATGTCTCTAGAGTGTCTGCCTACAGAAAATCCCATTACAGAGACCATCAATTTTGCCGTGGTCTCACAGAATCTAAAAAATCTCACTTTAGCCGCCAACTCTAAAGAGTTTCAGGCTCCCAGCAGTAATGAGGAGCTTTTTAAAGCTCTCAACAAACCTGTGATCTCACCCAATGGCAAACGCAGTCCTACCCATCATCCTCTGTCATATGCTCGTTCCAAAAGTTTGGCCGCTCGTGATTTTGCCCAAAAGAATATTACCATTAAACAAACCAATACCCTGCCACGCTCACAATTCCTCAAAGATGAAGAACTGGATGAGAATCAATTTTCGGCCGAAAGCTTGGATCGTCTATCGGATATTAAGTCCAAGTTTTCTCCCAAAGAATCACGTAAAATGTCCAGTTTAATGTTGCCCGATATAGCCAAACTAAAACACCGTCCTTTATCATCCTCCTCTATATGTTCCACTTCTTCTAGTTCGAGTTCTAGTTCAAGTACTGATCATTTGAGTGGTAAATTAAATACTTCATATTTGGCCAGTGTAGAGAGTTTAGCAGATGAGCATGATTTAACGGATCACATAGTGGCATGTCTGTGTTTGAGAGAGCCTGCATGGAAATTGTGGATTCGGAGAGAAGTTATGTTAATGATTTGGGAGAGGTTATAAGAGGGTGAGTTTGAAAATTTTATTGAGTTTCATAGAAATTTTGAACTTATTTTAGAGAATTCGAACTTTGAAATTTTCTTAAAATTTGTTTTTCTTTTCATTGATTTAGTTATCTCTTGGATCTTAAAATTTGTTTTTCTTTTCATTGATTTAGTTATCTCTTGGATTGGAAAGAACGCGCCTGCTTAAAGCAAGATGACTTAGATGTATTATTTTCCAATATACAAGATGTTTATCAATTCAATTCAGAATTACTTAAACATCTTTCGGACTCCATATTGGATCCGGTTAAAATTGCCAAATGTTTTATTGACTTAAAGGAAGGATTTGATGTCTACACTACTTATTGGTAAGAGAATCTACACTACTTATTGGTAAGAGAAATCGAGTAAAAATAATGTTTCACTTGCAGCACCAGTTATCCCGAAGCAATATCACTACTTACCAAACTACTACAGGCCACTCACACCAATGCTTTGTTGGCCTCCACCCAAAGAATGTTGCATCATACTTTGCCTCTAGGATCATATTTGCTAAAACCCGTGCAAAGAATTTTGAAATATCATCTGTTATTAGATGTAAGTGGGACTTTTTAGAGAAAGTTTGGGTTTTATTGAAATGTCTTATTTTTTATTAGAACCTACGCAAACATTGTGATATCAAGGAGGTAATGCAGGCCTATGAGATAATGCGTCAAGTAGCGCGCAATATAGATCAGGTGAAACGTAAATTGGAACAGCAAACCAGAGTTAAAGAACTATCGGGCATATTAGATGGCTGGTTAGGGCCAGGTATGATAACATAAGAATTTTTCTAAAGAAATAATTTTTCTAATAAAACGTTTTTTCTTCTAGAACTTACAGTTTTAGGTGAACTGCGTTTGGAGGGCATTTTAATGGAAAATAATAAACCACGTAGGGTTCTACTATTTGCCACTATGCTGATAATAGCCAAAGCCAAAGAGGACAATCGTTTGCAATTTAAAAGTTATATACACGTAAGTAGTAGTGGTAAAGCTAATAGTAGGAGTTAATTTGTAAGCAAGGATCGTTAAAGCTTTTTTTGTTGTTATTGCCTTAAATATATATTAAATAAACTACATTATCTTAGTTGTGCATTTTATTTTTAACTTTATTTTTTGGTTTCTCTTAATTTAGCAAAACAATCTCATGCTGAGCGAACACTTGGCTGGTGAACCAACTAGCTTTTATGTAATACCATACGATGAACCGCGCCACCAAATCAAGTTAACAGCCAAAAATCGTGACCAGAAACGCCTTTGGACTCAACACATTAAAAGTGTCATACTCGAAAAATTCGATAACATTCCATTACGAGCCAAAGAGCTGGTTTATCAATTGGGTGATGAGGAAGGTATGTAGGTGTGATCTAAAGCGGAAGCAGCTTTTTTTATATATGTTGTTTATTTATTTATTTTTTTTTTCTTTTAACTTTAACTAAACAAAATTTAAACAACCAAATTTTATGTTTTGTCTCGTTAAATTTTTATATATATTTTTTTTTTTTAATTTGTATTTTAAATTTATTCTTAAATTTGCAAATTTTTGTTACTGTTTATCAGGATAAAAGGGAAATTGAAATTGTTTTTATATGTGTATTTAGAAAAATCGTGCAAGACTTGTAATGATGTAATTAAAAAGTTGTTTATTTTGTTATTTTACAAAATAAGTTTTTTGAAGAAAGTGTAGAAGTTATTTGATATTTATATCCTAGAGAATTTTGGATTTTTGTTAAAATTTTGAAAACTAATATTTCTGGCGGATGCCTCTTCTGTGCAGAACAAGATCATTAATCTTTTACAAACTCTGTTTACAGATAATGTTCTTAATGGGACTCTAAAGTTTCAGTCTTTCATCATCCATGAAGAGCTTTTTAAAACTCTCAATAAACTTAAAGTCTTGAGCAATTAGTAAACTTTCCATTCCCATTCAATAGCATATTATCATTAAACAATATCCTCAAAGATAAATGACTGCTGGAGAATCAATTATTTACAAAAAGCTTGAATTGTCTGTCGAACATTTAGTCCAACATAAGGGGCCGAATTACCGCGCATACGTGATCGAAAAAGCTCTACTATCGAAAATATATTTCTAAATTGTCTAGATTTCTTGCTTGATATCACGTCAAAAAAGAAAATGACAATCAGTTTTACTTGACAATTTGCTAGTGGAAAAAACAATTATGTTTTGTTTGAAATGTGGAACTTCAGAATTACTTATATGTTATAGAGTAGACATTCATTATACAGAACAGTTTCAAAAAGAGTTATTTCATACAAGTTTTCTTGATCGAATTTTTACCTCCTATGACTTTCTATTCTCTGTGGGGAGAATGATATCCACTACACTCTCACGGTTGCATTGCTTTCTAGAACAGAATACACTACTATTACACTAACACATGTCGCTTATGCCCAGAACTACAATACCGAAATTTTCCAGTTGTGCCCCAAATTCAGCAAGTCCCGATGTCTCACTCAATGTTCTAACGTTCCAAATCGTGTTCTTTCCAACGATGAGATTGTTATTTCTTCTGTTGTGGATCAGTGAATTTTCAGATAAGCGTATGATTGGACGACTGTTTGATAGGATTGTAATGGGGTTGCCATTCCGAAGCTGCTTTCGCGGCTTTTGGATTGGTTCTTAAACGGCTCCAGATATCATTGACAAACTTGGATATTTGCTGATTCTCACATCAGAGAACCTTCAAGAGTCTCTCTCTGGATCCGCTGAGTTGCCCGCGACTGCTTATCATGTACGTAGTAAGCCAATATATCTATTAGGTGTTTTACAATCCGCAACTGGTGGACGTAGCATTCAGCATAGATTCCTAATGGGCGGAAGCATATCTGTAGGGAAATATCTGGTTGATTATCGCGGTAGTTCACTGCACGCGAGCAGTAAAGTAGAGTCGAACGAACTCCGTTTTGACAACGACATTCCAAATTTAAGTTTTTTCAATTAAAATTTCAATTTTCGGTCACATGTTCCAAAATCAAAAGAATAGAATCGTTTCAAACCGAAAGTAGTTTTAGAAACCTTTATGTGTTTTTAGATTTTCCTAAGGTATTTTCACAGCCCCGAAAGAAATCTGGAGCTGAGTGGGAAATATGCAAAAAAATCATATTTTAGGGATTTTCGTTTCAGTTTTAGGAAATTGCTGAATCTCCCGATCGTGCCAGCTGTGTAGAAATAACAAATATATTTCCCAAAAATACGATTCTATCCCATTGTGCATGAATTGTCATGTTCTGTAGCTACAGTTCTGAATTACATAATGTTTTATTCACATTTTCAAGATTGGAAATAGTTTTACTAAACAGTTAAAGAATTTTTAACATTTCCTTTCTTAAATTAATGCAAAATACTTATGTATGTACATATATGCCTGATATAGGAATTCATTTAGCCGATTTATTTCTATTTAAATATTTTTATGAAAGAATTTTCCTAGAATACAGAAAACGTCCTACAGAACGGGTTCTAGTTCCAAGGTTTCTACTCAGTAATCTAAAAAATTTTGAAAATTAATCTTGTTTTGTATTTTAACAGAAATGTCAAAACGATCTTACATATTTTAAATTGAAATTTTGTTAGTTACTTAAAAACAATATGACAAAAATGTAGCATACTTTTAGGCACCTTTTTAAATAAACGATCACTTTCAAAATTTCAAAAAAGTCATGAAGTTTTTTAAGTTTATTTTTTTAAATCATGGCATTTTTTCTACCATTACAAGTCTTGCATAGTATTTTTTATAAAAAAAATAATAAAAGTAGTTAAATTTAGTGGCTTTTAAACAAAAATACTATTGTTTTTAAAAGTAAATAAATACTAGCAGGTCTATTAACTCTAACACTTATAATTAACAAATTTTAACTAAAAAAACTATATTTATTAACTATAAAAAAATTATAACCAACAAAAATTTGGCTTACACTGTGACACAAATTTTATTTAATTTTCTTTCAATTTTAGTGATGTAGTACAAAAAAAAAAAAAAACAAAAACAAATAAAAACTTAAACAAACTAAAACAGCAACGAAATGGGTGAAATGAAATAAAAACCACAAAAATTTCAAACCAAACCAAAAACAAATAAACAATAAAAAAATTGACACTATTTTTTAGGGTTAGTACTGCCAGTCCAAATGCTTTTTTTATTTCAAATTTAAACAAAAACATCACCGATTACTGCACCACTGTAAAAAAAAGCACATTAAAATCACCAGAAAAAAAGCATGGGTTATGGGCACATACATTCCGGAATAGTTCCTTTTTTCTTTCTCTCTCTTTTACACACTTTTTGTTTCATACTTTTAACGCTTAGTGTTACATTACACTTTTAACTTTGCAAAAAAAAACAAACATTGGCTTTAAATCATAATGCTTTTATAAAACTTAACTAATATGTCTTGGTTTAGGGTTTTACATTTTAAAGGAGCATATTTATTAATTAGATTTTAATATTTACAGATCGCACAGCTGATAAAATCACCTGGAAATGGAGTTTGCATACAGCCTCCTCCACGCCCACTTATTTGGAAAGACGCAATAACTTTCGTCGCAGCGAAATGCGCAACCGTTCTAAAACAAAGCGTAAAACCATTTCAAATACCAACTCCTTGGATGTGTTTAGTGAAACCACACCCTCGAAAGATGTTAAGAATTTAAGCAAAACCATATCCAAAAGTGCTGAAAGCATCAATGACAAATCATTGGCTTCCAGAGATTCAGCTTTAGTTGAAAATGTAGAGCTTAGAGCCGAGGAGGAAGAGGCAGCGGAAAACTGCAGCTGTGCTAAAAACCAAAAATGCAAATTTTGCATTAACCGTGATAAGGAGTCAAAATCGGTTAGACAATCGCACAAAACCTTTAGATTCGGCAGTAAACCTTTAAAGGAACGCAGCAAATCGGTGCCACGCATTAGTCTGCACATAGAACATTTCGAAAAGGTGGCCAGTGAGCAGGTTAAGGAAGCTATAACCAGCTCCAAAGATGTCAAAACTGTAACAAATATTACACAAAGCAATGGCAAGACCACTTGTGCCAAACGTTTATCCTCCCTTAAACGCCAAAAGAATAAAACTAAAGAAACTTCCACTTTCTACATGGCTCTCAGTGAGTTTGAAGATGCTGGGGAAACGGTCTTGAAAATCACCGAATCTTCGGAAAATATTTTACACAATAGCAAATCGGAGGATAAGGAATTGAGCAAAGAAATGGCCAAATCTACCAATTATCTGCCCGATGTGGTAATGAAAGTAGAAGAGGATAATACTATAATGTCCACTTCTTTCACTTTAACGCCGGCAGAAAAAGCCAAACATGATGCCGAGATTGTGTTGGATCTTTTAAAGAATAGCAAGGAATTTGATAAACTCTATGCTAAAATACAAAAGAAACGTAATTTGGATAAATCTCTACAATCATCTAAAAGCCTGGACTTTAAACTCAACAAAACTATGGACAAACTGGAACTGCCACCGGAATTGCCACCAAGACCACCCTCTAGATCGCCACCTCCATTGGAAAATGAAAAAGATTGCATGGAATATAAGTCGCTGACTTTGGAAACAGAAGATGAGCCCATTTATGAAAGTCTGCTAAGAAATGTACATGTTCCCTATAAATTCTCTCCGCCTCTAGGACGTTCTAAATCAGTGCAATATAACAAGTGCAAGGAAAATAAACCAACTAGTCCACGACCCGAATCTGATTATGTCACTCTAGTGTATACACCCGAAGGTGTTTTACACAATGTAGGAGGTGAAGAAGTGCATAAATCCCCGACAAAACCCGAAAGTAATTTAAGTCAACACAGTTCAAATGCCTCGTCTACGACCACTCTTAAGGAAAGGGATAGTTTTAACAATGACTTACCCAGTGAACATAATTCCTTGGATTGCTCCACACAAATGTCTGCAAGCTATCACTCCAGTCCCATATATAGTTCCATAAATGAAGTTAATGCCAATCGCAGTCATACTCCTCGCAGTCTACTCAAACGTTTATGGAGTAATTCTACTCTGATAGGAGAAGACTTAACAGGCAATCGTTTAAGTCGTTCTGTACACAATCTAGAGCGTAGAGGTTCCGATAGTTCTGAAGTGGATAGACATTCTATACTACATCTGCCAGGCAGTGAGACTATAGGTGAACGTATGGCTCATGTAGACTATGCTGATCCACGTACACTCTTCAGTGTTATCAAATATGATGCCGACAATCAAATGCAAAGAGATTCGGTCTTGTCATTAACCTCCTCCAATGACAGTGTGTGTGAACATAAACCTAGTAATGGCAAATTTAAAGATTGTACTCATAGTTTTGAATATGAAGATTGTGTTGAAGCTTGTTTGGAAAATGATTTTCGTGATTCTGCTATTTACAGTGATGACAATGATAGGCGTTTGAATAAATCCAACTCTTTTCGCAACAATAAAAATCCTCCCCTAAAACCCAAGCCAGCATATGTGCCACCTCTTCCCCTTAAATCTCCTCTAAAAGTTGTCGAAACGAATAAGGATTTTGCCACAACCAAACCAACAGGACCAGGCGTTATCATCTGTCCGCCCAATTTAAGCCCCACTAGCACCCGCAGTTGGGTTCTACAGCAAATAGATAATTTTAGTAAATAATTCTATTAAATCCAATGCAATAAAAACATTTCATTCTTAATATTTAAGCGTTGCCATAACTAATTGAAAATTATTTAATGTTAAATTTAATTTAATTTAATTAACGTAAGAAGCGAAAAATATTATTGTTTGTCAATATCCAAAGACTAGGGCTTTGATCAACTCAACATCAAATGCCATTAATGTTAAATTTTTATTATTATTATAACGATTAATTTTTTTATGAAATTTTATTACATATCTAATATGTATTATTATTTTTCTGTTAAAATTAGGTATTAATATATTAAGATTTGCTACCTGTAATTTGTAATTTTGCTTAAACAAAAAGTCTGGTGGTATAAAAGAAAATGTATTTGAAAATTATTATAAAATTTTTAATTGTTTTACATTAGTTGTAGCCAATTTTATATAAATTTATTAAAAACAAAAGAAATTTTTATTAATACTTAACGAAAAATCATAAACCGTTTGTATTTTATTTTTAATCAAAAGGCTTTAGAGGTGGATCAATTACATGGCTTGCAGCTGTACTACTTATAGTCTGGTCGATAGTAGCTATACTCTATACTATAGTCTAGTATATAGTCAAGTCTCAAGTCTCGGCTATAGTCTAGTCTAAAGTGTAGTATAATGTGAAGTCTATAGTGCAGTTAATAGTCTAGTCTATAGTGTTGTCTATAGTGTTGTCTACAGTGTAGTCTATATTGTAGTCTATAGTCTAGTCTATAGTGTTGTCTATAGTGTTGTCTATAGTGTTGTCTATAGTGTTGTCTACAGTGTAGTCTATAGTGTAGTCTATAGTCTAGTCTATAGTGTTGTCTATAGTGTTGTCTACAGTGTAGTCTATAGTGTAGTCTATAGTCTAGTCTATAGTGTTGTCTATAGTGTTGTCTATAGTGTAGTCTACAGTGTAGTCTATAGTGTAGTCTATAGTGTAGTTTACAATGTTGTTTATATTGTTGTCTACAGTGTAGTCTATAGTGTAGTCTATAGTGTAGTCTATAGTGTAGTCTATAGTCTAGTCTATAGTGTAGTCTATAGTCTAGTCTATAGTGTAGTATATAGTCTAGTCTATAGTCTAGTCTATAGTCTAGTCTATAGTCTAGTCTATAGTCTAGTTTATAGTCTAGTCTATAGTCTAGTCTAGTCTATAGTCTAGTCTAGTCTAGTCTATAGTCTAGTCTAGTCTAGTCTATAGTCTAGTCTAGTCTAGTCTAGTCTAGTCTAGTCTAGTCTAGTCTAGTCTAGTCTAGTCTAGTCTAGTCTAGTCTAGTCTAGTCTAGTCTAGTCTAGTCTAGTCTAGTCTAGTCTAGTCTAGTCTAGTCTAGTCTAGTCTAGTCTAGTCTATAGTCTAGTCTAGTTAGTCTAGTTTAGTCTAGTTAGTCTATAGTCTAGTCTATAGTCTAGTCTATAGTCTAGTCTATAGTCTAGTCTATAGTCTAGTCTATAGTCTAGTCTATAGTCTAGTCTATAGTCTAGTCTATAGTCTAGTCTATAGTCTAGTCTATAGTCTAGTCTATAGTCTAGTCTATAGTCTAGTCTATAGTCTAGTCTATAGTCTAGTCTATAGTCTAGTCTATAGTCTAGTCTATAGTCTAGTCTATAGTCTAGTCTATAGTCTAGTCTATAGTCTAGTCTATAGTCTAGTCTATAGTCTAGTCTATAGTCTAGTCTATAGTCTAGTCTATAGTCTAGTCTATAGTCTAGTCTATAGTCTAGTCTATAGTCTAGTCTATAGTCTAGTCTATAGTCTAGTCTATAGTCTAGTCTATAGTCTAGTCTATAGTCTAGTCTATAGTCTAGTCTATAGTCTAGTCTATAGTCTAGTCTAGCTATAGTCTAGTCTATAGTCTAGTCTATAGTCTAGTCTATAGTCTAGTCTATAGTCTAGTCTATAGTCTAGTCTATAGTCTAGTCTATAGTCTAGTCTATAGTCTAGTCTATAGTCTAGTCTATAGTCTAGTCTATAGTCTAGTCTATAGTCTAGTCTATAGTCTAGTCTATAGTCTAGTCTATAGTCTAGTCTATAGTCTAGTCTATAGTCTAGTCTATAGTCTAGTCTATAGTCTAGTCTATAGTATAGTCTATAGTCTAGTCTATAGTCTAGTCTATAGTCTAGTCTATAGTCTAGTCTATAATCTAGTCTATAGTCTAGTCTATAGTCTAGTCTATAGTCTAGGGTATAGTCTAGTCTATAGTCTAGTCTATAGTCTAGTCTATAGTCTAGTCTATAGTCTAGTCTATAGTCTAGTCTATAGTCTAGTCTATAGTCTAGTCTATAGTCTAGTCTATAGTCTAGTCTATAGTCTAGTCTGTAGTCTAGTCTATAGTCTAGTCTACAGTCTAGTCTATAGTCTAGTCTATAGTCTAGTCTATAGTCTAATCAATAATCTAGTGTATGGTCTAGTCTTTAGTCTAGTCTATAGTCTACATTCTAGTCTATACTTCGACATTAAAATAATAACATACAAAAACAAAAATACGATCGCAATCCAGAACACAAAATACAATCGTAAAGCATTGAAATGGAATTGCGTTTTGTTTTCCTTACGATTCCGTTTTTTGTTGGAATCAATTTTTTTATCGTGGCGCAACCAAATGCGGAAACGTAATCAAAATACAGAATAAGAATGTTTCGCTCTTATAGATTAGGGTACAATTATGTCGGTATGTATGTATTTAATTTCATGTATTTTACTTTAATATTATGATAAATTCAAAAAGTACCTTTTGAAGAACGAAAAATTACCAAAGATGCCGCTTTCTCAGATCTCCATTTACTGTCCCGATTTTTAAATATTTCAAGAAATAACATAAGTTAAATTTTCTATGAAAGTAACAATAATATTTACGTTTTTTACCACTTTAAAAGTCAGAAGTTCTAAAGTATCAAATTTGTTTTTGTAATTTATTTACGAATAGTTTGTTTTGTGTGACTTAATTTAGTTTAGTAATTTTTCAAAATTTTTTAAAAATTAGTTGTATGAGTTTTAATAAAACTAAATTTTTCTCCCAGATTTTGCAAAAGGTGCCAAATTCGTATTTACATATAGCGCATTTACAATAAATTAATATATTCTCTAAAAATATGGCCCAATCGCAGAATTAATCACAGTTTTTTCTCACAATAAATTAGATTAATTCCTTAATTACTTGCTAAATACATTAAATTATTATAATTATAACTGCAACTCCAACACTTTACTTTTACAACTCATAACGAAATCGATATACAAACCATTTTCATTGATTTTTTTTTTCAATCATTTACCTTTTCCTTTAATTTGCAAATTGTTAAGCTGTTGTTGCACAGCACAGCACAACATTTAATTTGTTTTTGTATTAGACAAATGATGCTGTTATTAGTTGCATCGAAATGCGACAATATCATTTGTCGCAACCAGTTGAAAGGGGGAAGTTAAAAACTTGTCAGTGGTACTTATAAAACCAAACAACACTGCCGAGTTCGTATTATATCATTGCATTTATTTAGGTGAAAGTGATGACAAAATTATTTATATTTATTAAGCCAGGCTTTAAAGTTATTGGTTTTTTTAAAGTATTTAAAATTTTAGCATCAATCTTAAAGATGTAAATATGTCATGTAAAAATACTTATTAAAAAAATTGTGGGATCAACGATGATACATATATTTATGTATAAATATTTACTAGGTAGTGCTTTTCGTAAGTCTGTGTTTATTTGACGTATTTACTTTACTTACTTCCATCTAAGTGTGTTTTAAATAACCGCATAAATTAATCTGGTTACTTAAGTGAATTGCATGCCACTTTTCTGTTTGTTTGTTTTTTATTAAGAGTTTTAATAATATTTTAAATACACATTAATTTGTTCACATTTTAATTTTACGTTTAATTTTTTAAATAAACTTATCATTTAATAAATAAAACATTTATAGAGTAAATAATATTTACAATTTTTAAGGAAATTCCTGTTGTCTGTTTTATATGTACATAGGTAAAAAGGGGTTTGTAATTTATAACCCATTAATGACTATTTATATGACAAATTCATCCCATCTTTAACTCATTTTCGAGTTGTTGTTGGCAAATTCAATGTAGGCACCAATGAGATATCTTCTATTTACATTAGGGTTATAACTTTTTTACAATTTTTGAAAATTTAAAATCGGCCATATTCATTCTACATAGAGTATAAAAAGTCCATATTGTCTATAGTCTAGTTTATAATCTAGTCTATAGTCTAGTCTATAGTTCAGTCTATAGTCTAGTCTATAGTTTAGTCTACAGTCTAGTCTAAAGTCTAGTCTATAGTTTAGTCTATAGTCTAGTCCATAGTTTAGTCTATAGTCTAGTCTATAGTCTAGTCTATAGTAGTCTAGTCTATAGTAGTCTAGTCTATAGTAGTCCAGTCTATAGTAGTCTAGTCTATAGTAGTCTAGTCTATCGTAGTCTAGTATATAGTAGTCTAGTCTATAGTAGTCTAGTCCCTCTGTGTAGTAGTCTAGTCTATAGTAGTCTAGTCTATAGTAGTCTAGTCTATAGTAGTCTAGTCTATAGTAGTCTAGTCTATAGTAGTCTAGTCTATAGTCTAGTCTATAGTCTAGTCTATAGTCTAGTCTATAGTCTAGTCTATAGTCTAGTCTATAGTCTAGTCTATAGTCTAGTCTATAGTCTAGTCTATTGTCTAGTCTATAGTCTAGTCTATAGTCTAGTCTATAGTCTAGTCTATAGTCTAGTCTAGTCTATAGTCTAGTCTATAGTCTATAGTCTAGTCTATAGTCTAGTCTATAGTCTAGTCTATAGTCTAGTCTATAGTCTAGTCTATAGTCTAGTCTATAGTCTAGACTATAGTCTAGTCTAGTCTATAGTCTAGTCTAGTCTATAGTCTAGTCTAGTCTAGTCTAGTCTATAGTCTAGTCTAGTCTATAGTCTAGTCTATAGTCTAGTCTATAGTCTAGTCTATAGTCTAGTCTATAGTCTAGTCTATAGTCTAGTCTATAGTCTAGTCTATAGTCTAGTCTATAGTCTAGTCTATAGTCTAGTCTATAGTCTAGTCTATAGTCTAGTCTATAGTCTAGTCTATAGTCTAGTCTATAGTCTAGTCTATTGTCTAGTCTATAGTCTAGTCTATAGTCTAGTCTATAGTCTAGTCTATAGTCTAGTCTAGTCTATAGTCTAGTCTATAGTCTATAGTCTAGTCTAGTCTATAGTCTAGTCTATAGTCTAGTCTATAGTCTAGTCTATAGTCTAGTCTATAGTCTAGTCTATAGTCTAGTCTATAGTCTAGTCTATAGTCTAGTCTATAGTCTAGTCTATAGTCTAGTCTATAGTCTAGTCTATAGTCTAGTCTATAGTCTAGTCTATAGTCTAGTCTATAGTCTAGTCTATAGTCTAGTCTATAGTCTAG